TAATTTTTGGTAAATTTGTTTACCTCACTAAAAAACTCAAAAATACACAATTAACTGAAACTCTCTAATTGTTTTTGAAATATCCAAATTATAACAATCAGGGCCGGTTTATCAATGTCCAGTTAAAGTTGCAGTTAGTTATCTGTTAGATAATTTCCATGGATACCATTGTTCTCACAACGATCGATATGAAATTTAACCGTCAGATAGACTAACTGGAACTTAACTAGAGATTGATAAACCGGCCCTCAGTCAAGCAAATTAGTTTTATTTAAGCTTTAACTTGAAGAGAACACTATAATATAACAAACACACTTTATGAAGAATACGATATCTAGATTCACGCCACAGAAAAAGAATTTCTTCTAACAAAAGGCGACAAAGAACACCAAAACACGCCATCTTAGCTTTCTCTCAAAAACTCCAGTGTTACCACCATAACGTATGGCGCCAAATTATCACAAACTATTAATTGAGTACAGATTGCGTTTGTAATTAAATTTTTAAGGTTAACTGACGCTTACTACCCTATTTATTGTTTAGAGACCTCTAAATATGTTAATACCTTACAAACAATCATTGCTTAAGGTGTTTGAACAATTATTAATTACCAGCCGTGATTTCTGCGCATGCGTATTAAGTTGGCTGCTATCCAGTTGTATTTTGTGGTCATATAACAAATACACAAAATGTAATCTTGTTTTTCTACTCCCACTTCCACTCCCAGTATCGTTCATGTTACCAAAATATTTTAAATACACATTGACAAGCTGTTACTTTATGGCGTTTTAGTCAAGGGCTGAAATTTTAATTAAAATTCTACTTGCGAATCTTCACCAAAAATAAATCGATTTATAAGAATCATTATCACTTACCCACATAATATTAAATAATCCTTACTTTTTTTGTAATCAAAATCCTTAACCAATTTAAAATAATTTTTTTAATGACGTCATTATCCAGGTATCTGGATAATTTTCTTAAATTATATATAATTATATAGAATTATATACAATTTTACATACCTTAAAAGAGACTTATATATAATTATATAGAATTGTATATAATTATATAAAATTATAAACAATTTAAAATACCTTAAAAGAGACCTATATCTAATTTTGTAGAATTGTATATAATTATATAGAATTGTATATGATACTATATAATTATATAGACACTTCAATAGGGTCTAATATATAATTATATATAATTGGAAATTATTATATATAATTGTATAATTTCCATATTTAAAAAAAAATATTTTATATAGAATTATTTATAATTGTATATCATTATATATAAACTTTATATAATTATATATGAATTATATATAACTCTATATACATTTTATATAATGATATACAACTAAACTGCGCACCACTCAATGTGTCGCGACCAAAAAGTTCGTCCTTTTTTAAAACGACATAACTTTTTTGTTTCTTGAACGATTTTATTTTGGTCTGTGATGTCTGCTAACCCCATTCTCTGGCAATTCATTCTATAGATATTAAACACACGATTCTTCAAGTAAATTTTCTACAGGGTGATATGTAAAACGGTGAAAAATTTCAATAATTTCATCCAAGCCCCGTTTGTAAAACAATATATTTTTTTTTCGTTTATACTTTGAAATAATGAAGTATTATGTGTTACCTTGAAACGTTTTTCAAATTTTTCGAATTGGTATCTTAGCAACGAAAATATGTTTTTTTTCCAAAAGAGTACATTTAAGACTTTTTGGTAGGGAATATACTCAGTCTTTTTAAGAACAAGAAAATAAGATGGTAAAAGATTGTTCCTTGAATAATTCTGAACAAGCGACAAGCAACAAACTTCCATTATTTTCAGAGGGGCCTAAGCAAAGACCACTTTTTCAAAATGACATTTTGGTAAAAATTTGCGAAAACTAAACCTGAACCGATATTTACGTTCGTGACATGTTTTCTTTATAATTTTGACCTCCCGATTGTGATTCAGTTGTCAAATTTAAGTTTCAGATAAAACCAAAACCATCAAGAATCAAAATTCGAAAACAATTCCCTGTTGTTAAATGTCTTAATAAAATCCGATTGCTGGGGATTCATTTTTTGGGCGAAATTACTGCAATTTGTTTGAGTGGTTAGGATAATGTTACATAACTTACATTTACATTGCGCAGTAGTGATAACATCATTGATAAGTACCTACCTAATTGGTAATAAAGTTAAATACAAATATTTTAAAACAAATGATGAAAGGTATTAATAATACCTTTCAATATTTCGTAGGCCCTCCCCTAAGCTGTAATAATTCGTTAACCCCCCTGGGTATTCCCTCGACCATGTTCCTTAGAAATTTCTGGGGTACCCCATTCTTCCTGAATAGCATTTACCAATTCATCCAAATTTTTTATGCCTCCTTCCCTCTCTTTCATCTTCAATTTTATCCTGCTCGACACATGCTCAATGGGATTCATATCCGGAGACAAAGGTGGCCAATTAATTTTCTCAATATGGTGGTCCCTTAAATACTCATTTACGATATGTAAAAAATCAGTAAAAACCAGCAATCGGATTTTATTGACACATTTAAAAGCCAGGAATTGTTTTCGAATCTTGATTCTTAGTGATTTTGGTTTTATCTGAGACTTAAATTTGACAACTGAATCACAATCAGGAGGTCAAAATTATGAAGAAAACATATTACGAAAGTAAATATCGGTTTAGGTTTAGTTTTTGCAAACTTTCACAAAAATGTCATTTTCAAAAAGTGGTCTTAGCTGAGGCCCTCTAAAAATAATGGAAGTTTGTTGCTTGTCGCTTGTTCAGAATTATTTAAGGAACAACCTTTCACCATCTTATCTTCTTGTTCCTAAAAAGACTGAGTGTATTGCCTAAAAAAAAGCCTTAAATGTACTCTTTTGGAAAAAAAATCATTTTTTCGTTGCTGAGATTCCAATTCGAAAAATTTGAAAAACGTTTCAAGGTAACACATAATACTTCATTATTTCAAAGTAAAAACGAAAAAAAAAAATATTTTTTTACAAACGGGGCTTGAATAAAGATATTGAAAATTTTCACTGTTTAACATATCACCCTGTAGGAAATTTACTTGACCAACCGTGAGATTCATATCTATAGCATAAATTGCCAGAGGATGAGGCTAGTAGACATCACAAACCAAAATAAAATCTTTCAAGAAACAAAAAAGTTATGTCGTTTTGAAAAAGAACGAACTTTTTGGTCACGACACATTGAGTGGTGCGCAGTTTATATAAAATCTTTTTTTATCGGCATATGGAAAGACACATAAAACAGAAACCAGATAAATCCATATAAAAATCCCTAAGTTGTACATTTTAAAATGAAATTCCATATTAAACCATATAGATTCCAAAGTGTAAACCAGGTCGTTCCATATAGGACATATAGAACCATATAAATCCATATTAGTTTCCTCCATCTGGATCAATATGGGTTCTATAGGGCATTTTTAATAGGGAAAGTAATCAAAAATTCAATCTCCAATCTTAAATTTATGAAAACATCATCAGGTCGAAAATTGTCGCCTATTCATTAAAGAAATGCTCTCTGCTTTTCAAAGAATTGATGTTAATTTGCCCAAATTTCTTAGAATCAAATTAACGAACTACCAAGTTTCAGTTAAAAGTCCAAAAAATATCCTGCTCAATCGAATTCCACGAGTAAATAAATTAAGTCATTTTTGTGTAACATGGTCATTTTTCTATGCAATAATAAATCCGTTATTATGAAAAAGGTAAATAGAAAAATATTCGCCAATTTTGGCGTTTCTATTACTTCCTTTTTATCCGTCAGCAAACCGTATTAGAAACAGTTTTTAATAGGTCTAAATTGACAGGATTGGCGAACAATATTTTCATACCGAAACTTAATTAAAATAAAATGTCAAATACTGGTTATTTTTTACATAAAATACATTAAAATTTTATTTTAATTTATCTATTTGACGTATACCGATTACTCCAGTACAATCAAGATAAATTTAAGGCAAAATAATTTAATAAATAATTAAAATATTAACAAAACATTACATTTTGAGGAAATTGAGCAGAGCATTTTATTACGCAATTATTTTAAATCCTAGACGTCCTAGAGCAAAACTAGTGACATTTTTTAAATCAGCGGCCCAAATTAGTTACACTAGACCGGAATACTCAATGTTAGAAAAAAAAAAGTTTATAAAACTATCATAGTGTTATAAAAATGACGTTTTTAATTCGAAAAGGCCGGATTTGACACATGCGAAAAATTAAATAAGGGTGGATTTTGTCCTTAAAAATTAAGCAAAATCCAAGATGGTCGAGCAACGAATTTCGGCGTTTTCATATGAATTGACTCAGTAATGCAAAACAGTTTCCTGAACATTGCCGAAAACTGCTCCACTTGCGGGCACTGACTTGCAACTGAACGTTGTAATGTAATGTAATGTAACACGAACATTCGACAGTCAGTGCCTATAAACAAGCGCGAAGCGAACGGCGAGCGGCGAACGGAGCATCCGTGCTCCACTTGAGTGTCGGTTTTTTAGCGAATCCCTTTGATTGTTACATTACAAGTCAGTGCGCGTCATTTCGGAACTGACTAAATGGAGCACTGTTGAGCAGAGCATTCAAAATGAGCATTCGCGGCACCAAGAAAACGATCTGAGCTCGAGCGTTGTAATGTAATGCTCGCCTTGAGCATTTTACATTACAAAGCTCGGCTCAAGTCAGTGCCCGCCTTAATTTATTAGTTAGTCTTTTGAGTTTATACATATTAATTGGTCGGTAGTTTTCTATGTTACTATTATCTCCTTTTTTAAAAAGCAGAATTACCTCTGCGTTTTTAAACGCGTCCGGAAGTTTGCCTTCTTTGTTTAAAAGAGTTTGTAGAGATTTTTCCATGGCGGCTCTTTTATTATTAGCATATGTAAATATTTTTATTTGAAATAAATAAATACCTATTAATTAATTATTAATAGAAATAATGTATTTTTAGGTTATGGCAACTGCAGGACAAGTTACAGTACGATTTATTATCCGAAACATACAAAGCCCAAGACTTATTCCTTTAATTACAAGCAATGCAATGAATTCAAAAAGTAAAGAGATACGACGCAACTGTTTTGAATTTTTAGAATTCATATTAACACAATGGTCGACCTATCCTTTAGAAAGACATGTAGCTGCACTACAAGAAGCAGTCAAAAAAGGAATTGCTGATGCTGATCCTGAAGCAAGACAATGTTCTAGAAGGTTAGTATACTAAATGAGGAGCATGCGCGCAAAACCAGCTATATCCATTTTAATAAAATGTTGTGAAAATGGCAAAAACTCCCGTTTCCTGGCATTTACAGATAAAAAATGCATCTCAAGTTTTGTGCCCAAACAAATGCACCTTGAGTTTTGTGCCCACAAAACTCAAGATGCACTTTTTTATCTGTAAAGGCCAGGAAACGGGAGTTTTTGCCATTTTCACAACATTTTATTAAAATGGATATAGCTGGTTTCCTCAAATAGTATTACCTGATATAAAAATGTATTCTCAATTACATCAGATCTTTTGATGAAAAAATAAACGTATTTAACATAAGCATAAAATACAACAATATACATATTTACATACACACACATATATATATATATATACATGTACATACACATATATATATATATATATACATGTACATACACATTTTATGGAATACCAGTTATCAACTATTACAATACAAAAAGAACAATAACAATAAAAGAGATAAGATAGAATTGTACATATATGTACCTATAGGTAATTTAGATCATAGAATTATTAATACATCATACTTAATAAAATCACAAATATTATAAAAAGCGCTAGCGATTAGGTACTTTTTTATCACATTTTAGTGATATTCATACGAACATCATGTCGTGATTTTCACAAATTTTATTCATACTGATATCATACGGAAGTCACCGCGTGATAAATGAAAATCATACGAACTTCACGTCGTGATTTTCACAAATTTTATTCATACGGACATCATCCGGATGTCACTGCGTGAGAAATGAAAATCATTTTTGCGCCACGTTCGTACACTAAGAGAAAAATTATGTTGCATCAACAGTTTTTGCGGTTAAATACATTAAATATTTTCTTGGGTTTAAATTAACTTTATATAATTAATTTAAATCCAAGAAAATATTGAATGTATTTAACCACAAAAACTGTTGATTCAGTATATATGTAGCCTACATAATGTAGGTATACTTTTTCTCTCAATGTACGAATATGGCGCAAAAATAAATATCCAAACACCGATGGCATAAAAAATTACATGATTTTTTATGCTTTCGGTGTTTGGGCATTAAAAATCACGACATGATTTTTTATGCCATCGGTGCACCGACATGTTTGGATATTTATTTTTGCGCCACATTCGTTCATTGAAAGAAAAAGTTTGTTAACAATTGAATTAAGAGTTTTTGCGGTTAAATACATTTAATAATTTCTTGGATGTATATTAACTATTAATTTAAATCCAAAAATATATTGAATGTATTTAACCACAAAAACTGTTGATTCAATATACATATATGTAGGTATACTTTTTCTCTCAATGTACTAATGTGGCAAAAATAAATATCCAAACACCGATGGCATAAAAAATCACGACATGATTTTTTATGCTATCGGTGTTTTGTCATAAAAAATCACGAAATGATTTTTTATGCCATCGGTGTTTGGATATTCATTTTTGCGACACATTTGGACATTGAAAGAAAAAGTATGTTAACAATTGAATCAACAGTTTAACATTCAATATTTTGTATATATATATTAAATGTATTTAACCGCAAAAACTGTTGATTCAACATAATTTTTCTCTTAGTGTACGAACGTGGCGCAAAAATGATTATCCAAATACCGTTGGCATAAAAAATCACTACATGATTTTTTGTGCCATCGGTCAATCGCAAACAGCGATGGCATAAAAAATTACGACATGATTTTCATTTCTCACGCAGTGACATCCGGATGATGTCCGTATGAACAAAATTTGTGAAATTCACGACGTGACGTTCGTATGATTTTCATTTATTACGCGGTGACTTCCGTAGGATATCAGTATGAATAAAAATTTTGAAAATCACGACGTGATGTTCGTATGAATATCACGAATGTTGTCCGGGTAGATTTTAAATTCGCAGTTCGCAAGGCTCATACGCATGCGCAAATTTTGCAAATATCACACCGTGAGTTCATGTGTATGCACTCGGGATATCACAGCGTGATAAAAAAAATCCCGTTGTGATATCATCATGACTTCACCAGGAAATCCCGATTGTTGTCATAACTATAGTTATGAACATCTGAGTGTAGATAATATTTATCCAAGCTTTTTTTGCATATAATAACCATTCATAGATGTAGCTACTGGGAATTGTTAATATGTTAAGATCCACAAATTTTCTTCTAATATCCTCGCGATACTTCGATTTTACTAGAGTTCTTAGAGCTCTACTCTGTAATCCAAATTCCATAGGTTATGGTTCCTTGGATTAGGGCGTTAAAAATATTCTGAGATTTATTGAAATCTAGGTTATTAATAGTACATTTTAATAAATATATATGCTTTGGTCTAAGTTAATTCCCAAAAATTTGATATGCTTAAACTTAAACTGCTTCGTAAATAAAATATTATTTTGTCAGTTTTGGTTTCATTTAAACTGAGTTTATTTGCACTAAACCAATCACCTATATTCGCCAGGTTTGCATTCATGCAGGCCCGCAGATCATCGTAATCACCATTTTTGTTATAAAAGGTCGTGTCGTCAGCATATAGTACCAGGCTCCCCGAACCCAACGCCAAGGATACATCATTTACATAAACAAGGAACAGCAAAGGGCCCAGAATCGAACCCTGTGAAATGCCATGCTTTATATCCTCTACATCCGAAATGCTGTTTCCTAAAATTGTTCTTTGTTTTCTATTTGATAGGTAACTCTCCATCAGCCTCTGACCCACATCATCAAAATCATAAGCCTTCAACTTGCTTAGTAAGATTTTATGGTCTACACAGTCAAACGCTTTTGATAGGTCGCAAAACGTTGCACCTATAAATTGTTTGTCTACAAAACCATAGGTAACTGCTTCAACCAGTTCAGCCTCTGCTAAGGTTGTTGATTTATCTTTACGAAAACCGTATTGTTTGCCATTTAATAATTTGTTATCTTCCAAATGTTTGTAAATCTGGTTTTTCATTAAAAGTTCCAATATTTTTTAAAGCACCGGAATCAATGATATGGGTCTGAAACTATTTGGATCTTCTGGATCTCCTTTCTTAAATACTGGAATTACTTGGGAACATTTAAACGTGTCAGGAAAAACACCTTCTTTAATGCCTTTATTTAACAGTTTTGTGAGAGGAATTATAAGAACATTTTTAAAGCTCTTTACTAGTTCCATGTTTATTTCGTAGATGTCCCTGCTTTGCTTACATTTCAAAGTATCTATTGCCTCCCGGACTTCGTTGAACGATATTTTCTTAAATGAGAATGTTTTTGCCGAGGCCGCACTTGTGTGCCTTGCGAGGTATTCCTCAGCGTTAAGCGTAGAGGAACCCAGCTTACTCACCAGATCTCCCGCTATCTTGGAAAAGTATTGATTTAACTCTGTTGCCGACTAGTGCTGTCGTTTCCCCTTTTTTCTATGCAAATTTTGTATATACATCTATGCCTACGTATCATATCTGCAATTTCAGGGCACCTAAAATTGGAATAAAATTCAACTAAAAATCTCAGATGTTCACGCATATTAAAAAGATAATCATTAAACCAGTATATTTTTGTACTGGTCTTTTTTGTTTTTGTTTTTGTTAAAATATGTATAAAAATATGTTAAAAATATGTTAAAAATATGTTTAAAAAAGTCTCAAATTTTTCATCAGTACTGCCTTCTTCGTCTATAAAGGACCAGTTTTGTGATTCTAAGCTATTGTACATTAAAAAGGTCCCCTGTTTCGAGAGCGGACGACATATCACTGGAATTCCAAGCCAAATCGACTAACTTTGAACCCGACCCGTTTTGATTTTGCTGATTTTTTTAAATCTTTTTCAACCCCACTAAAAGAGCTTGTAATTTTTTCTTTTTTTTACCTAACCAAACAAGTAACGATTTAAAAAAATTGGCTCTTCCTTTCAAAAACCTTTATCTATTTGCGTTCATAATGACTTCATTATAACACTAATTTTGACGGACAGTGTAGATAAAATAGCATAAAGAACTTATGTCATAAGACCTTTTGTCGCACTCGTCCATAAATTGTCCGCATGCGACAAAATGACATCTTATGACATTAGTTCTTTAATATCTATAATTTAAATCCAATTTTATTTCATAAATTTTTGAGGAATTTAACCTTACTTTTTCGCAATGTATAATAAAACTTCAGCCCGTGCCATAAAGTTACAGCTCGTCAATGTAGGAGTAGATAATAATTATTTGTTTTACGAGTGTTGAAAAGCGCCTTTTTCATCCGAGTGTTTAAGTTACTCACGAGGCCGTTAGGCCGAGTGCAGTGCTCGGATATTCAAAACCGAACCGAAATGCTTACTCTGTCTTGCCTGATCTGCTCGCGCCGTCAGTGGGCGTATGCTATACGGGGTTTAGGTAGTTGAGCGCTTAAATCAAGTATCGGAGCATTTTTCGTTTTTGCGTTCGAAAATTTGTATGTGTATTTGTATGATGTATTATTCCAGCGCGCATTTCAGGACTCTTGGATAAATATTCATATTTCTATAACCGTCAAAATCTTTAGAATATTTCAAAATTTTTGAATTGCTATTAGAAGCTCTCACATTTTAAGTATAAGTCTACAAAAAATCAGAATTTTAGATTGTATTCTAGAATTAATACATTAATTATTAATTATATTATTAATTTGCCTTGGCAAAAATCGAAAAACCGCCTCCGACCAACTCCAAGTTCTGACAGATCAAACCATGACATGGTTTAACAAATGGAGACTTAAACCAAATCCATTAAAGTGTCAACTAATACACTTCCATCAAAACAAGATTGACCCTAATATAACAATTAAGATGTACAATAATATAATAGAGCCAAAATCTAATTTAAAATACTTGGGAATCACAATAGACCATAAAGTCAACTTTAATCTTCACTCCTCCCTGTCAAAGAAGAAAATAATAACAAGGGCCAGCCACTTTAGAGGACTTACATACAACAAAAAATTCAAGTACCCAGAAAAGA